GAAATAGTCCTCTACAGCATACAGCTGTTCTCCTAAACCAGAAAGGAAAATGGTTCTTCCCAATATCCCCAACTTCCTCTTGATCCAAAGAACTTCTTGATATCTGAAAGATGAAAGGAGAAATTACCGCAACTAACTGCAATCTGAGTAGCTGTCTGGCTGTAATAGAAAGAAGTAGAAATCATCCTGATTTAGGTTTTTTCTTGTTCCTTGTGGAGGACTGTACCTGCATCGCTACCACCAAAGGTTCTTTATGTACTGCATTTGAGACTGTGGCTGGGCTTTTGTGCAGAAGCTATGTGATCAAGGCATGCCACATCCATGGATTATGTGGTTTCTGGGACTATACCTGGTACATATGCAGAGCTAGGATGGGGCAGGTGGTCTCTGACAGAGCTTGTTCCTTCACAGCCCCTGGGAAATTGTTTCTCAAGGCATAGCAGCTCTCAAAGGCAATCCAGAGACTCATGCTGCCTTTACAAAGCTCTGCAGCCAGTGCCCTAATTCCACCAGAAACCTCCTAAGCACAGTCCTTTGCTCGATACATGTACACTTACTCATGTGAGCATCTGGACCGTGGCCTATTGAGGACCAGACAGAGGGGATGTTCCTGCATGTTATTTTATGGAGGTCCTCTAGGGGTTGTAGGCATGTAGATGTGTTCAGCACCATTACCATGCTTTTCCCTAAGCTGTGTCCCAGGACTACTGATCCTGGGGACCAAGGATGTGGGTGTCCAAGGGATTAGTGGAGTGCTCTCTCCTCCCCTGAAGATCTGTTTAAGATATCCATGCTGGCAGCACACACACCACCTGAAACCATGGTTTCACCCACCTCTGAAACATGGTTTTGCCACCTCATGAAAAACATGGTATTCATCTAATTGAAATGAATGCAGAACCACTTGTCAGTCCTCTCCCACTCTACAGCAGGCTTGATATTAGCAACAGGGTGGTGCATCTTCTGGAGAAGCTTTTACAGCAGTAGGAAAAGGAGGAAACAATAATTAAGAAGAGTAATAGAACAGTGAAGAGGCTGATAAAGGAGTGGGGGGGAGTAGGAAGGAGCAGTTCCTTTAGTAGTCTTGGAAGAAGAATAAGGTGGATAAGGGTGACTCTCTGCCTCTGGTTTAGAGAATGCATATGTGACATGGCTCTTTTTAGCCTATGAGATGCAGTTCAGGATATTTCAGGAGCTCTCGTTTTTTGAATAATCCTTTTCTGTTTAACTTGCATTGAAGGATTCCATACTTGTGAGACCTAGTCAACGTTCAAGCCAGGAAGTTGGAAATTCCTCCTTTGAGCATTTTGAGTGGGATTTCTGGTTTAGTATCTTCTAGGAAGAATTCTTTTGGCATGGACCAAAACTGCTTGCGATAACTACTAGGGGTTTACTTCAGAACTGCATTACTTGCAAACCTGAGCTACTAATATAGCTGTAGTATTTGTTTGGTGGCTGTGTAAAAGTTAAAACCATGCTCACTGGGGACTTGCATTTAATAGAAGTGTAATTTATGCCCCAATCTTCAGAGCTGAAAGCTTACTTGAGTTTCTTATTATATCACTTGGTCTCAAGTGATTTTATTACTGAAGTGTCAAATATATTAAAGTGATAGAGCAATCTTAAAATGGAAGAAAAGTGGAGAAATAGCGTGTTAGTTTTTGAGTGATAAAGTACACTACACTGTCTTAATGTAAACCATAAATGGCAAAGCATCATAAGAAAGTGGAAGATTTCATGGCTTTTAACAATTTAATGAAATGTCAATACTCACGGTTCCCCAATTCCCTTCTTTTTAGAAAGTGATTGTTTGAATGTTTCAGGGCTACCACATCAATCTGTAGGGCAATGTAAACCTGCTTTCAAATGTTCTCTTGTCTTCCAAGTAGTTGCAGATAGAGACACTGTTTTATTATATTGTCCAAATGTTTCCTGGCTGTCAGAATGATGAGGGAAAGGGCACAAGGAAAATCATAGACACCCATATATCGTATTGGATTATTGTCTTCAGTGACATTAAACTCTCTAGGGTGGGGAGGTTAAGTGCAGGCAAGTGCTTACTGGATTTGCACAGCTGACATGTGGTTCCTGTCTACAGCATGCTGCACATGTTCGGCTTTAAATACAATTTACCTCTGTTAGGTTTCACTAAAAATGACTGCAGTACATGCAGATCTCTTCACTGTCTCCCTCCTACTACCAAAACCAAAGTCATATAGCTTGTATACAAGCACTGGGAGTCTTCTATTACAAAATTACTGATGGTGATGTTTAAATTATGCTTTTTCCTTTAGCAGGCAAACATTGCCTTTTTAATAATCATTAATAATTATTTATTAAATATAGTAAACAATAATACTATTTATCCATTGTGTTTAACTTTTTGTTGTCCACTACACACACTTAACACTGACTATAAAAATACTCATTTGATATTGTTTTCATTGCCTCTGGCCTTTTTGTCAATACTCTGAGTCTCACAAGCAGGAAGGATAATGATTAGTTTTCTCATTTCTTTGTGAGAAGGTGATGTTAGCTCTGTGTTACGATTTTAATCTTTTCACTGTAGGAGGTATAGAAAACTAATTTACCTTTGGAAGTAGAGTTGTTAGCTTTACTTACAATTACTTTCACCAATTCTGGCTAGATATGACTGTAAATGCTGGTGTTATGGCAATAAATTATAACTGTGTACATGTCCAGGCTTTGTTTTTTGTTGGGATTTAAAAGTGTATGTCAGTTTCATAGAGTATTGATAGGTATTAATAGGTTTAGCATTAAAGGCGTTATCTCTTGAACATCAGTAGTATTTAATGTAAGAGATTATATTAAATATCTGTATAAATCATATAGATACTTTAGCTTGTATCAGTTTTCAGCTTGGTATGGTGATGACAGCCTTATAAACATACTCTCTCTGTGGTTGAAAATAACAGCAGGGATTTTTGCAGTGTTTATAGAAAATGGAACTTACGCAGTTATCTTCTGATGCAAAAGTGCATGCTTGAGGCTTCTGTGCTTCCATTTTCTTAAATCCTCAGGCAGAAGTGTAGAAATATGCATAGTTTGATTGTGGATGTGCTGTGAATTAATGCAACAACAGAGCAGATGCATCTGGAGCTTCTGGATGTTACTGTCTCATGTTACTGAAAGTCTGAATATAGGTTTCCACAGAAGACAGAAGCAGAGAGCAATGCTATATTATCCTCTTCAGTGTACGTATCATACAGAGTTCTAGGACTATGTGTAATTACTGTTTAAATAGAGAAAACTCAAATTTTTAAATAATATAAATGACAGTACTTTCAAAGAAAATCTACCCTCCTGACTAGCTCATCCTTGAAAAAGAGGTTCCTTCCCTTCTGTGCTGCTTGCATGTGTATTATTTGCTTAGGCTGCCCCCATTGCTTACATTATTTGCTGGGTCACTAAAAACATTCTTACTGCTTCAGAACCTTGAATGGTTTTTATTCCACAGGCAACATCCCACTGCTGCTCTCAGGAGTTTGTCTCCTCTTTCGGTTTTTTTCCGATAGTACCTGAAGAAGAGAGTCTCTTACAAGACTAAATTTTACTTGAAACCTTATCTATGTGAATAAATGAGGACTAATGCCGTATGGGTAAGATTTGAGGAATTTATGCATGAGTAGATTTATGTTACATTGATCGTAAAAGAAATTAAAACCTTTAAACTTCTTATGTTTCTTGTAGTATTTTCTAGTAATTGGCAAGCTCTTAAAGAATAGTTTTACTATGATAGGTAAGAAGAGGTCCCCTGTAAGACAGAGCAACTCCTTTGTTCTGAACTTAGATTTGTCTTCGCTTAGCCCAAGAACTTCCTAGAGAATCATTAATGTATAACTAACACAAGCAAAACTCCTGTCCTTTTATTGACATGTAACAATGTTTATGGAGTATTCCAGCTCGCAACTTCCTGGGGATTTTCTCCTTCCATCCTGTTCTGAATAAGTTTATTAGTCTACTTGGTTTCTTCTTAGTCTACAGTTTTTCCTGTTAACCTCTCCTAGCCTGCGTGTTGTGCACAGTTACACCTCTACACATGGATGTCTAATTGAAGAATTGAAAGGCAGTGAGCAGGATTAGGTACTGAGTATTACACAGCTATCAGCCTCTGGAACTCAAGAAAAACTCTGATAGGTGAGTTCATTCAGTTGCTCTTAAGGAGTTAGTAATTTGCTTTTCCTTCAGAAGATGCCACATTTCCATGCCACAACAAGTAGGTGGGAACAAGTGCACAGTGCTTGTCACAGGCTCCCATGCTCACTCTAACAGCACTTACTATGTGGTAAGTAGTCGATCCTGGCATACTAATGAAATTTTCAATACTACTTTTGTGACAGAATATTGTGTACTGTCAATAAGTATTTTCTCATAGTGTTTCAGAGACATTGCTGCTGATCTGTCTATCACATTTCTTGAGTTCCAATTCTTTGCTGCTGTACATGGTCTGTCTTCAGGTTTCTGCATAGCAAAAATGAAAATCTGAAAATGAGAGCAAAAATGGCCTTTTAAATCTAAACACGTTTCTCTGAATTTGTATTTACTTTTGGTTCAGGTTGTAAGATTTCTTGTCTCAGATTATGAGAAGTTTCTGATACTATAATAGAGAAAATATTACTACATATTGATTTCTGTTTCAAACTTTGCTGGTTAGGACAGAATTTGCACTATGAAATGCCTCGCTTAAAAATTTACAAAACATTACTATTGATTTTGGTTTTGCTATAATAAGTACAATAATTAGCCTCATTCCATTTGTATTTTATGGAAAAAAATGTATTACAGAGAGGTTTTTTTGCAAAAAGGAAATTGTCTTAAATTTATTGAACCTCGATTACATCGTTCATCAGCTTTCCGTGTCATACAGTCTTGTCTCCTTAATGTCCTGCATCTCTTGACTGTGTAAAAGTTGTTTGCATATGGGGCACCAGCAGATCTGGAGAAACTTTTAATATGTTGTGAGTGTTTTGTCATTACAGGTCTCCAAGTTAGCTGATGTCATGATCAGACATGGTGTGAAGAAAGGAGATCGTGTGGTCATCTACATGCCCATGATTCCACAGACAGTGTACTGTATGCTGGCTTGTGCAAGAATAGGAGCCATCCATAGCCTGATTTTTGGTGGATTTGCATCTAAAGAGCTTTCTGTTCGCATTGATCATGCAAAGGTAATAACAGATTGTATTGGATCTGGCTGAGGTGGAGTTCAGTTCCCCATAGCAGCCTTCACAGTGCTGTGCTTTGCATTGGTAGCTAGAAGGGGGTTGATAACACACTGGTGTTTTTGCTACTGCTTAGCAGTGCTGGCACAGCACCAGCTCTATCTCTCAACATTCCTCCCCCTGCCCCCAGTCGAGGGCAAGATCCTGGGAGGGAGCACAACCAGGCCAGCGGACCCAAATTAACCAAAGGGATATTCCATACCATCAGCTCAGACATAAGAGCTAAGGGAAGGAGGAGGAAGGGAGAGCATTTGTTGTTTATGTTTGCCTTCTGAGAACCACTTACATGTGCTGAAGCCCTGATGCCCGGGAAATGGCTGGACGTCTCTTGCTAATGGGAAGTAAAGAGTAAACCTTGTTATTTTCCTCTTCGTGCATGCAAACTTTCACTTTTGCTTTAGTAAACTACCTTGTCTCAACCTGCAAGTTGTTTTCCATCTTACTCTCTCTTCATTGTCCAACTGGGAAGGGGAGTGATAGAGCAGCTTTTGTGGGCACCTGCCGTCTAGCCAAGGTCAGCCCACTACACCTATTTGGAGTGATAAACACCATTGCTTTAGTTACTAGTTAAGTCAATATAACAAGCTTGTTGCTTTTGGGTTTTTTTTCCAGAGAGGGTAACATTTCTCTTTGTGTGGCACGCAGTCTCAGTTTGTGTATAATGTGCAATGTTGCAATATGAACACAGTACAACATCTCTGCTGAGGCTAATACTTGTATAACAGACATTGAGATACAAATTTTCACCCCTTTTAAAAAAGCGTGAGTTTAACACACTACTGTCTGTATAGAGCGTACTTTCTTCTCCCATTGGTCAATCTTTTTCTACAAAGCATCGTGTTAACACCTGCTTTATGTCCAGCATTTTCATCAAGTGTATGAGAAAAATGCTGCCAACCCAAAATAATTTCATTGGTTTATTTGATGTTTAGACATGTTAGGTAGTACATTTTTTCAGCTATGTTGTGGTTTAGGAATGGTATTCCCCAAGTTAGTGTTCCCACTGAAATGTTTCAAATTGCACGCTGCTCGCTCACTCCCCTTTCCCCTCCGTCTCCTTCTGCGACAGGATGGAGAGGAGAATTGGAGGCAGGAAAGGTAAAGATCACAGGCTAAGAATGATTTGCTGGAAACAGCAATGAGATAAAAAACCAAACAGTAACAACAACACTATTAATAACAGAGTGTAGAAGGAAGGCAAATGATTCACATGCGAGTTCTCACCATGCACAACTGGTGCTGCCTGACCACTCCCTCTGCCACCTTCCCAGAAGGAACCCATCCCCCTCCCCACCCTGTGTATGGCATGAGATGGTATAGAATAACCTCAGAGTCCAGGCTGTGCCTCTCTTGGTTACTGCAAAAATTAACCCTGTCATGGCTGGAACCAGGACAAGCTATAATTCTACTTCATTTAATTTCTACATGAATCAGGGCAGCTATGGAACCAGTTACCTTAAATAAATGACTCTGCGGAGAACATAATTAGCAGAGCTCAATGCTTTAAGGGCTTCTGTGTTTGGCATAAATTGATCTTGTTTATGAGGGGTTATGTAAGTCTGTGTTAGTGAAAATGCAAATAGTACTTTACTAATTTACTTAGTAACTTATGTATGCATTAGTTTCAACTGGAATGGTCTGTTCTTGTGTTCTACTCGTGAATAAGACAAAGTCCTTGTCATCTTGATCAGTCACCTGGATCATTCAGACTATCTGTGAATCTATCACTGAATCATGTTACTTAGATAGAACATTGTGCAGGGTAAAGTCCACAGGATTTGTGGACTTACTTAGATTTCTGTGTACAGAAGTGCTTTTCAGATGACCGAGGTTTGAATTTTGTAAATATCTGTAAATAAAAAGTTGAATGCATTTCCCCTCCTCTCCTTAGTGTTTTAACAAAGTTAATAAAATGGCTAAAATGGTTGACTGGAATAGTAAAAAAAAAAAGGCTAACAACAACTCTAGTTTTCCCTGTCTTTCTTCCCACTTCCCCACTTTTTTAAGAAGCTATAAAAAGTAATGTTAACTCACAGAATTAGGGAAAAATAATGTAGAAGAAAAATGATAAACTTTAAAAATGGAGGTTGCTATAATACACAAATCATCTAGCATGTTTACTCTTAGAGTATTTTGCAATTATTACCTAATTAATCCCAATGGTTTCTCTCTGGGGAACAGAGGGAGACAGCACAATAATCATAATCCTTGCTTCATGTATTAAAATGAAAATGGAGAAAGTGTAAATGTTTTACCGGAGGTCACATAGCAACTCTTTTGAAGGGTTAGCTGTAGAATTACTAGCTGCAGGCCATGGATTAAATCCTAATTTACATTGCTTTTTGGTTTCTTTAAAAGGCAGACTTAAGTATTATGGATGATTTTTGGTCTATCTGATGCATAATGAAAATGTGAGTAAAGAGGAGAGGCACATCCTCATTCTAAATTTCAAAACATGTCCCAGTTTTGCAACATGGTAAAACTTTCATCATAAGTGAATTGCACGCTACTGACTTTATCTTTAGGATTTGTATATAAGTACCTGTGATAGATGGTATTCTTCTGAACTCAGAAGTTAATTAAAGCAGTCTCAAAATAACCTAACCTTTTTATTAGGCTTTTTTGTGAATTGGTTTAGATGCTGAATACAGGACCTGATGTTGGTGAGATTAAGTAGAAGGAGTTAAGAATGTACAGTGGAAATCTGGCTGTTAGATACTTTTGTGTAAAAAAAAGTCAAATTTCGTTAGAAGATCTGAGTGAAAGAAATAACAAGAACTTTCTAGTGACTATGAAAAGGTACATACACGTTACCATTTTACCTTAATTTATCTTGAATTTAAAATAGGGAATGCTGCAAAGTCCTGCAGCTGGTAATTTCTACTCATGTCAGGTATTGGCAGTTACAGGTATTCTTCACTGAATTTTGATGAAGTAATACAGATCATGAGAACAGAATTTTTTGTCATCTTTTACCTAAATCTAGGAATATATAATTTGCAATATCAAAGCAATAGGTAGGTTCATAGAATCATTGAACAGTTTGGGTTGGAAGGTCATCTAGTCCAACTCCTATGCAGTGGGCAGGGACATCTTCAACCAGATCAGGTTGCTCAGAGCTCTGTCAAACCTAACTTTGAATGTTCCTGGGGGTGGGGCATCTACCACATCTCTGGGCAACCTGTGCCAGTGTTTCACCACCATCATCGTAAAAAGTTTCTTCCTTAAATCTTGTATAAATCTAGCCTCTCAGTTTAAAACCATTACCCCTGGTCCCATTGCTACAGGCCCTGCTAGAAAGTTTGTCTCCATCTTTCTTATAAGCCCCCTTTAGGTACTGAAATGCCACAATGAGGTTACCCCAGAGCCGTCTCTTCTCCAGGCTGAACAACTCCAACTCTAAACTTTCCTCATAGCATAGAGGGGCTCTGCCCTTCTGATCATCCTCATGGCCATCCTCTGGACCTACTCATACAGATCCATGTCTTTCCTGCGCTGAGGACCTTGGAGCTGGATGTAGTACTCCTAATGAGGTCTCAGGAGAGCAGAGTGGAGGGCAGAATCACCTCACTTGACCTAATGGCCACGCTGCTTGTGATGCAGCCCAGCGTAAAATTGGCTTTCTGGGCTGTGAGCACCCATTGCCAGTTCATGTCCAGCTTTTCATCCACCATTGTCACCAAGTCCTTCTCAATAGGGCTGCTCTTGATCCCTTCATCCCCCAGGGTGCATCGATTTTTGCAGAGGTTGCCGTGGCAAAGGTGGAGGACCTTGCACTTGGCCTTGTTGAATGTCATTAGATTGTCATGGGCCCATTCTTTGAGCTTGTCCTTGTCCCTCTGGGTGGCATCCCATCCTTCAGGAGTGTCAACCTTTATTGCTTTTACTGAACTATGCGTTGTATGCTATTAGAGACTACAGAAGAATTTGTAGGAGGAGTCTTTACAACACAATAAAAGTACTGGTCTTGTACCTATAACTTGTACTATTGGGCCTTGCTTTATCTCATTTCTGTTTCATAATGGGTTTTTTCTATAGCTCTCTATCTCTGGCATTTCTTCTCTAGCAGACCCTTGAACTCTCCTGGTTTTCCTTCAAACTAATTATATTTCTGTCTAATCTTACCATGCAGAACTACATGGAGCCACAGAAGAGGTGGGAAATGGGTATATAAAAGCAATATGGGAGTAGAAGTGCAGGGGAAATAATGTCAGTATGCAGAGAGGTAAAACAGTAGAAAACAGCAGTTAGAACCAGTAGTGAGCCTTTAATTTAATTTGCACAGCGATCCATGATGCTTTTTCACTTGGGTAATACATCACCTTAGCCAATTTAGTATTGGTTATTTTTAGATGTCCTTACTGCATACAAAGGAGTTGATGAGCAGAGATGGCATCATTTACAAATGACTGTACAACTAGTGATGGCAGCAGTCTTTCATCTTAACAATTTAATAGAATCGTGTATCTTACATTTATTACAGTCTTAATTTCAGGGTAGCCTCCAGATGAATTTTCAGTTTAACTGCTTTGTATTGTATCATCTTTTATTAAATCACTGCAACCCAAAAGAGAAAGTTGACAAATGCTGAAATTTTAAAGCTCATCTGAAATCTTTATTTGAATACACACCAATTAGGGAACTTCTCTGAATGGCAGATTTGGACAGGAAGCATTTTATTATTGCACAAGAAAACAATTTAATCTGTGTTTTCTCTGCTGAATTTAATGCAGCTTTAACTGTGGCATTGTGGTTTGTGCCTACTTAATGAGATTTATGCTAATGCATACAATTAGTAAAGTAGCTTGATCAAACTGAGGGGCGTAAGATAAATACACTTCTGAAACTCCAGAAAGAAGGAGATTGAAGATTCATTCTTTTCCAATTAAAATGTATTCTAACACATACTTTCTTTGGTGGTACCTTTTCTTTCCCAAAAAACAGGAAATAAAAGGACCTAAGTCAAACTAGCTTGTATGTGTATTTCTTGACTTAGGAAATCTTACATAAAATCTGCAGGTAATTTAATGACAAAGTTGTGAAGTCCTCATCTGGAAATAGAAATTATTCTAAAAAATCCCCAGAATTACAGAAATCTGATTTTTACTGGTGTGGCATCCTCTGTCCTGCAATCATCACTTGAAAGACTTTAGCTTATTCTCTTCTTCAGTTTCTAGTTTCCTACCATCTCATTTGCCTTCTTTTCCCTCTTTCTCCTGTTTTTCCTCCTATACCACTTAATTGCAGGCTGGGAAAGAGCCAGCAAAGTGCTATAGCTAATTTTGAAATATGCAATTGGATGCAATAGAAAGCAGGCTAAACAGGACTGATAATTGTTGACATCGCTGTACTGCTCTTCCTTAATGGAGGAGCTAAGATAGACCTGGTTTTTTCTCTCTATGTTCATTAATATTTGTGCAACTTAGAAGAAGTTAATACTGTTGATTTCTTACTCAAATTTGTTTGAAGATAGTGAAGAGTGTCTGAAGTTATTAGTGTGCTTCCGAACAAAAAGCACGTGAATGGACAGCAAGATCACACAAACTTGATTTCCTTTAGAAAACTGATCTAAACCCGTTTCTAATTATGTGAAGATAAATTTTATACATTGAATATCATTAATCAAATAATTTAACAGAAAACATGTTATGTGGTTACTTATCTAAAATATATTGCAGATGTATATATCAACAATCTAACTTCTTTTTTTTTTTAGCCCAAATTTATTGTAACAGCTAGTTTTGGAGTAGAACCGAAAAGAAAAGTGGAATACATATCCCTCCTAGAAGGAGCACTGGCAAGGATACAGAGCAAACCTGATAAAGTTCTCATTTACAAGCGACCTAATTTGGTGGGTGTACACTTGTTCTGACTTTATGTTAACTTTCAGATGTTTATGTAGTGCATTTGCCTTTTCTTTTTTACAGGTAAAATTTTACTGTATCTATTGTGGTTTGTTTTTTAATTTTAAAGGCAAACATTTTATTTGTAAGATTTAAATAGTAAATAGAACTAATGCATCTGAGAGATTACTGTACAGAAAATTGAATAGTACTGTATAGAAAATTTGAATATTCCATTTGGAATGGAATTTGACCAAATTCCATTTATTCTGTTTTTCTTTTGACAATTTTCTTATTTTTCAATGGACAGGGCCATGTTCCTCTTACTCGAGGTCGTGATCTTGACTGGGAAGAAGAGCTTGCAACAGCACAGTGTTCTAAATGTGTCTCAGTTCCCTCAGACCATCCACTTTATATTCTGTATACATCTGGAACAACAGGCTTGCCCAAGGTAAAGAACTATCTGAAGTCTACTTGTCTGTGACCAATCTATTTGCAGTTTCACTTGAGAAAATATTTAATAAAAAAGATTTAAAATGTTTGCCAGAGCACAATGCTGTAAATGATAAGCATTGCTAGAAAAGGTTTAATCTTATTTATTCACATTTCACTAGTTTAAAGGCAATGTATAGGAATAAATCATGTTTGTTTATTTAAATAGTAGTAATGTAAAGCTAAGATGCATTTGCTTCAAGATGTTTGTACAATATAAACTTTTGAGGACAGCAGAATGTCTTTTATCCAGTACTATCTTCTGTGTTTTAACTGTTTTAGATAAGCGTAGTATAGTGACTTAATGGCAAGATTTGTTAATACATCACTTGTGTGATGGTATGTGATTGCTGACTACTCTTGTTCATTATTTACATATTAGCTAATTTTCCTGTAGATAAGACATGGTGAATGACGTTACAGATTAAATGGGTTTAAGCATATTCTGAAAACTTGTGTTACTGAACAATTCTGAGGACATAATTCCCCTGAAAAGTTTAGACTGAGTAAGTGAAAATTAGCATAGGGTATTTGAAAATGTTTACTTTTGAATGTAAATTAGTTTTAATGACCTATTTTTAAAGGATTGCATTTTAAAAGAGGGCTGTCTGAATGTTTGCTTGGTACTTATAACGCTCTTTTACAGTGTGCGGAAGACAAGCTGAATATAATTTTCTGTTGCTAGTCTTACAACCAAAGATTCAGACAGTATCATATATCCCTGGATATGACAGTGCTTAGACTACTACTAGAAAATTATTTAATCATGTTGCCTATAAAGTTCAGAATCTATGAGGATGTAAGGGAAAACAAGTATCAGTTTTGTTGAGAAAATTGTCTTCTGCTTTTACCTTCAAGATGGGCCCTTTAAAGCAATACATTTATCTTGAATTATTTTATTGTCAAAAAGCCCAAGATAAGATCCTTTGTTACTACAGGAATTTTTCTTGACTGTGAGTTTCAATATAGTGTCTCAGAGATAAAAGTTCTCAGAAGTTTACTTCAGTCTGTTGGCTCTTTGAGTGAATCACCCTTATAAGAGGGAGATTGTCAACTAGCACTGAGCTACAATAAGTAACTCAGTGAATAAAATAACTTTTTTATTTGTTTAAGGATCTTAATTTAAATGCTCGTGCAACTAAAATTAATCAGTTATGACCTTCATAGCAAAACTGTTGTTAATCTCAGAGCAGGAGCTAAATTAGAAGCTGAGTCTAACAAAGGCAATCTACTGTCTGAAAATGGCGAAAGGTTAGTTAACCATTCTCTCCCTTATCAATCTCCATTTTAATGAGTTAATGTGTCTCTACAGTCCCTCATTTCTTGGATGAGGTCTGAAAGTCCCTCTTTCATTCTATGAAGTACATCAAGAAAATGTAGCATGCCTAGCATGGACACATTGCTGCTGCATTGTAATGTCTGTGCAGAGGATATTTGAATTTTAGTTCAGGACACCAGGACATAGTTTACTTAATTCTTTCCTCTAGGAACAGAGTACTAGAAGGTGAAATATATGAAATCTATAGTAACCATATTATATTGCAAAATATTTCCAAAATTTTCCTACAATGAGTCTTCCAGAGCTGGTTATTGATTTACCAAGGTGCATGATGCTATTGATACTCTCTCATTCTAATTTTCCCTCTTTTAGGTGAAGACTGGGATGTTCTTCATTTTGCATTTTTATGTGCACTTCAGGCCAGATATAAACTTTCAAAAATATACATTTATTTAAGCCAAGTTTCTGACATCTTTAAAAAAGTCAGTGCAGAAAGACGGGTACATTTCAGGGAGTAATTCACTCCAGTTGTCTTAGGGATTGTCTACTTCACAGGTGCCTCTCTTATCCAGTGATGATACAGAGAGACTAGGCAATGAATTTAAAACATGCCTAACATTTAGATGGCACAGTGTGAGGTAAATACTCAATCTCTTATTTTTTGTCAGCATATGTTGACTAAATATTTGTATATCCATTTTTTATGAGAGAATTCTAGATTTGTTAGTAATCCTCTGAAAACTATTGTCATCTAGGCCTTGGGTTGTGTTTTTGTTTTTTTATTGTATGTTTGTTTGTTTTCCAAAATTACTTCTTTTGTGGAAGTGCTAGTACACACACGTTCTTTTTGGAATAGATCCTTTTCTTTAGGAGTATTGGAATTAGAAAACCTTTGGTCTATTGCTGCTAAAACCTCAACATGTAATTGAAGACTCAAATTAAATACTCAAATTTTCTCATTTAGGGTGTTGTCAGACCAACAGGTGGCTATGCAGTTATGCTAAACTGGACAATGTCAGCTGTATACGGACTCACACCTGGTGAGGTAATTCCACTTAAATGTCATGTAAATGTGTTTGAAGGCCTCTTAAAACTTCTTACTCTAATTATGTTTTTATTTCATTTTAGGTGTGGTGGGCAGCTTCTGATTTAGGCTGGGTTGTTGGTCATTCCTATATTTGCTATGGACCTCTCCTTCATGGGAATACTACAGTTTTGTATGAGGTATGAACCATTCTAAAAAATCAGCCTTGGAAAAGGCAGCATCTCCTCCAGCCGATGATCCAGGTGATCCCATTTATGCCTGTCTGTTCTTCATGCTATAGATGTTTGAATTGTGTGTATATCTTCAGTGTTCATACTCTCCCATCTATTACAGTAATTTTTAAGGAAAACTTATTTCACTGTCTTTCAAGCTTGTCTACTTCAGCTGTGTGAAGGATAATAGTCAGCGGGGCAAGGAACTCCAAAACAACAGACCTAGAAATGGCAAAAAGCGGAGTATACCTGTGTTGTTGATTAGACTACCATGTGTTTTGCATGTCTTGAGATGAAAAACTCTGGATCTCAGTTGGATGCATTGAGAGCTCCATGGTTGGAACTAGAACTTCGAAGGAGACTTGTCTCTTCTCCCTCTACCACTCAAAGCAACTGAAACCAAGACTGAGATGACATTCAAGTCATTGACCTTTTCCTTGTGGGATGAAACTCAGTGGGATGGAGAGGAGACTAGTCTGAGTGGCCTGTTGCATCCTAACTTTGGTGTTCAAAATAGCAATCATGCTGCCTTACATTGTTATTTTTTCAGGAGTTATTGTTGATTGTCTCTCTGATCATGAGGCAGGAAGATACAGTGTTGCTTGAACCATCTTCTTTATTCTTCAGGGAGTGTCCAGTATCCATCAGTGATAGTGAAAGACATTTTATGTAAAAGCACTGACATTGTTAGCTCTTAAGCGTGCTGTGAAACTTGGTTGTTTGCGTCCACTTGACATTAGGATTTCTGGGTATATCCCAGCTTCTCCAACAACACTGTGGAGCATGATGCCCACCTAGTAATTGCTTTGTCTTTTTCAGTGGTCCCAGAGGCAGAAGTTGTTTTAGATATGCCATCAGGGCATGCTGATCACCTTTGTTGGTTTGTAGTGATAGCTAGAAACACGCGAATAATTAAGGGAAATACAATGATAACTCAGATCATACAAGAACTGCAGAAGTATAGTGAATGTACTGGATACTGAGGGCATGAAATAAGCTTCGATGACAATGTAAATATAGCAATTGTTAGAGCACCATCTGTGACCAGTCCTTCTGGAACAGGGGAGTCAGCATGACACGGCAGAAACATACTGTTTTATCATATGTGCAGAAGTTCTGCTTAAGAAAATATTTATTACAAGCAAACGTTCTCCATTTTCCTGTTATTACACTGTAGAAGTGAAGATAACCATACTAGAACAAAAATGGTTTGTTAGTGTTTACAGAAACAAGCATTATCAAAACAATCCTTCAGTCTTTGCACAACCAGTTAAATCGGTATTGGTTGAGTTGTGCTTCACTGTAATGAACTTACGCACTTCTGTTGCTGGGCAGCTGGTGCTGGGGTTGTTTCTGAATCCTGGATACTGAAAAGGCATGGACAGTTGTAATACGGTGAGATTCCCTTCAAATTATTTGAATGCTACTGTGCATCAGAAACTACAGAACTTACTATGGCTTTCTGCATCCTGTTTTTGAAGTTAGAAGTACGCTTTACTACTCGAAATTCAATGTCTTTGCAAAAATTATAAGTGAGATTTTCACAAGCAGAAGACACCTCTTGAAGTGGGTCAAGAATCCTCAAGTCCAGAAAAGCAATGATCATTAGGGATGTGTCTACATGATATTTCAAATCACAGCAGCAGTACAGTTCTGACATAAGTTCTCCAATTGTCCTTTCTTGTTGATTTGATTAACAGAGGGGTTCTAGTCATATGAATGCCATCTTTACAGAGAAAGCTAAGACACAAGTTTTGCTGCTTGGGATCAAATGGTGGGATCCAATGAGTGGGTCTGCACTGCTGTGGAGTTAAGTTTTCTAGGACAAAAGAAAAGCACATGTGCCAACGGGAAGCTTTTAAACAGTTGAGCGCTCAAACCTTATTCCGAAGTGCTTCTCCTGCTGTGCAAAAGGGCCAAATGTGATGGGAGACTTCATATTTACTGACTGCCAGATGTCTGCTTGTTCTGACTTTGAGCTGCTCCTGTAGTTCTCACAAGCTTTTGCATCTGTCTTCTTCACCAGCCCTATTTCTTTTGCTGTTACTGCTCTTTCCTACTGCTGTATTTTGCAATAGTGGCAGGCATTACATTGGCATCCCAGAATACTGAGCAAGGGGCAATGACAGCATGTGCTCTGAAAGGCCCAAAAGCTTCTCCAGCACCCTGTTACACCACCCTGTTACTAATGTCAAGCCTGCTGCAGGATGTGACAGGGCTGACAAGTAGTGCTGCATTATGTTCCATTAGATGAAGATCATGTTCTTGATGAGATGGAAAAATCATTCTTCTGATGTGGCATGGTGTGTGTGCCCCTACCATAGACATCTTGAATAGATCTTCAGTGGAGGGGGGCAGTACTCCACCAAGCCCACTGGTTGTGAGAACATCAACACCCTTAGTTCCAGGGCCAACAGTGTGTGAGAAAAGTCCAGGGAAGAGTGTGCCTAAAGTGCTATACATGTCTATATGTGGATGCCCCATTCCTGGAAGTATCGAAGGCCAGTTTGGATGGACCTCTGCACAACCCCATGGCAGGGGGGTTGGAACTTTAAGGTCCCTTCTGACTCAGGCCATTCTTTGATTCTGTATTTCTATGATATGTACCTGCAACCCCCAGAGGAGCCCTGGGAGACAGCATACGGGAACATCCCCTCTGCCTCAGCAGGCAATAGGCCATGGTCCAGATGCCCATATAAGCAAGTATGCATCCTCCTTTGCTGTACATGTATGGACTGTGCTTGGGAGGTTTCTGGTGGAATTCACTGGTTGCAGAGCTGTGGGAAGGCAGCATGAGTCTGGATTGCCTGTGAAAGCTGCTATGCCTTGAGGAATGATTTCTGGGGGGCTGTTACATGTTAGAGAAGTTCTGTGGAGCAACAAGCTCATGAGAGACCACTTGCCCCATCCCAGCTCTGTCTGTGTAACAGGCATAGTCCTGGAAACCACATAATCCATGGACATGTCGTGCCTTGATTACACAGCCCTCCTCAGCTTCTGCACCAAAGCCCAGCCACAGTCTCAAATGCAGTGTGTTAAGGACCTACCTAGTGTTGGTAGTGGTGCTGGTACTTCTAACCACATGTTATATTTTGTTCAGGAAAGGTTGTAAAGGGAAGGACATGGTAGGCTGCAGTCAGGCATAACTGAATTAACCAGGTTTTTGGATTGAATAAAGCATGAGAGTGTGCGAAGCACAGAAGTGTGGAGGATGGAAAAACTGAGAACAGAGAGAAGTATTGGGGGTTAGTTCTTTTCTAATCATAGCATAACATTTACCAGATTGCAAGACATTGATGTCCAGTGGTATTCCTCCCATCCCAGTCCATGTTCTCCTGGATGCTCAGTGGCTTGATGACTGTTTTCAGTGAAGGGGCAGATAAAGTCCTGACACAAGTGCATTGCTGAATACCCCAGCTACGACAAAGAGAGCAGAGAACTGTACATACAGGTACTGCAGAAGCTGTGCTCAGTGATCTGAAGAAAGATCTTGAAGGTGTCCTCACTGTTGGTTCGGACTAAAAGTAATACCCTGAATTTGGAAGAATATTAGAAACATTTGAACAGTGTCTGTTCCCCACAGCCCAATGTCTTTGTTGATTGCAGTTCCATTATGCATTGAGTAAAAGCACAATTAAATTAGGCCTGTGCTGCACTGTTGTCAGAGTGCACATGTGCAGCCTCTCTCGTGCTGGTTATTGGCACAGAGGACTTCATGAGTGATCCTGTCCCTTCTTGGCAAGAAGGCACTGGCATATGTTTTGATTCTGTGAACAGAGAAATGGAAGATGGGGGATATAGAAACCCTATAGTGGAGTCTACTGACAATGTGTGAACTGACATGCTACTGTCATCTGCAGGAAGCCAGTGAAAGGGATGGAATGACACTTCCCAGAAGTTCCATTAGTCAAGGGAGCAAAGATCTGTAAGGTAGCTTTCTACCAGCAAACTTTGAGCTGCATTTTTGGTGAAGTGAACAAGGCAAAATCTAGCCTAAAATAAACCTCAAATAGCATCTAATTGAAGAGGTAAAGAGCATTGGCATTAAGTAGTTTGATCTACTAATCTGTTCTAATTCACCTCACTACTTGCTATGTAAACAAAATCTGTGACACCATATGTGCTCGCATTCATGTTTCATTTTATTATTTCACATTTTGGCCAGTGCATGTAGTAGGAAGAAGATTGATAATCTGTCATAGAACAGCAGATTGTGCCTGGGTGACACTTGTGTATATTGCTTTGTACAAAATCCTGTTGTTTATAATTTTCATTACAGAAAAATTTAAAATAAAGAACAAAATGTAATGTTTAAAGCAAAGCTCACATGCCTTAATGCTCCCAGCCAATGATTGGAGCAGCTGGAGAAAACTTAAACAAATGCTTATTCTTAATTTCAATCTCCATGTACTTTCTATCCAGATAAATTTTCCTGTCTTGCTTACATTGTGTTGATGTAAAAGCTTGCAATGAATGTGTTACTGAAATACATGATGCAGAGAATATCTACAGTGCAAATGTGGCAATAAAAATCAGGCATTTGTTTAAGTATTCCTTATGATTAGCTCTTTTTTGATGAGTTTCCGATGTATTGATCTGGTGGAACCCACTTGCTTCTGTGAATTTACAAACCAAATTACTGTGGAACTTCTGAAAAGCTTTTGAGTCGATGAGTGGCAGCTTGCTGATTGTGGGAGCGATGCTTTGTTCTTAGTGCACATGCAAGTTCTGAAAGACATTAGGAAGTAAGATTTTTTTCTAGGACATTCCAAATTAAAAGTAGTCAAGTAGCTTTTAAAAGAGAGGAGAAGGTGTTTTTAAAAGCAATAGGGCAAAATACTAAGAAAACAAAAAAAAAAAAAAGAAAGGAAGAATTCAAGAGGAAAAAGCAAGAGAGAGACTATGATAAACTCATGAGACAGATTCTTCAGCAGAAAGGATTCCTAGGTAATTAAATACACCTGTAT